GGGGGACCCCGGGGGCTATAGAGAACCTGTGGGGCTATAGGGACCCCCGGGGCTATAGGGACCCCTGGGGCTATAGGGGACTCCCGGGGGTATGGGGGAATCCTGGGGGTATAGGGGACCCCCGGGGCTATACTGGACCCCTGGGGTTATGGGGAACCCGAGCTGACTTAAATCTTTGGCCCCCCGAGTCGTGTGTTACTGAATCACGACGTTTCCCCTCCTTCCTCCCTGCGGGAAAACCCTCGGAGCAGAGCAGGGAGGGACAGACCCTGTGCGGGTCCCGAGAGGATTAGGACTGTTCTGTCCCACACAGCCCTAAATGGTTGTGATTTATCCCCATCAACCCTCGGACAGACACCTCCAGAGCGTGGGAATGGACCCTGTCCCGGGGGGACCAGGAGTATACTGTCCCACACAACCCTAAATGGTTGTGATTTGTCCCCATCAACCCTCGGACAGACACCCCCAGAGCATGGGAACAGACCCCACACTGGTTCCCAGGGGGACCAGGAGTGTCCTGTCCCTCACAGCCCCAAATAGCTGTGATTTCCCCCTGGGGAACACTGTGCTGCCACAATCTGCCGTGTCCCCCACTCAGTCTCTGGTTCAGGGTTACACTCTGCCTCCCTCCACCCTGGGGACCCCGCCGAGAGGTGGTGAGGGGCACTGACCTGTTACACTCACCCTGCTGGGTGACACACAGCCTTTAGCTGTGCCTCAGTTTCCCCCAGCATGGAGAGGTGCCCATGGCTGTTCCCTGCTCCCTGTGCAGCCAGCCTTGCTCTCCCTAGGGCACATCCAGCCCTTCCCGCAGCCTCCTGGGACCAGAGCTGTGCATTTCCTCCTTCCCTTCCCCTGCGCTGCTGGACTGAGTCATGGCTGCTGTGTCACGAGCAGCTCTCAACAGCTCCTCCTGGCCACTGGCTCGATGTCCCTGCAGCAGAGTGGCTTTGGGCACATCCCGGGGAGTGCTGAGCTGTGGGGAAGGGGCATGGAGTGTTGCAGCAGGGATGGGGAC